TGAGGGTAACCTGACTTGCTTTGATGTGTATTTGTCCCCCTCAAAATGTTACCATTTTTTAAATTCCTGACTCTAGAACAGGGGTTTTCAACCTTTTTTTTTCATTTGAGGACCCTCCAAAATTTTGAATGGTGATGCAGACCCCTTTGGACTGTAAGTGTGGTGGATAATCATACTTTTGATTAATCATATTTGTCAGCCCCCTTAGACATAGTCTGTGGACCACCACAGGGTCCACAAACCACAGGTAGAAAACAATTGCTCTAGAACAGTTGCTGTATACCAGCCAGGGATTTTAACTGCTGCTGGTGGATTATAATTGGGTTACTTAGCGTAACGATTCACAACCAGAGCGTGTTCAAGTCTGCCAGTCTGAAAAGCTTGATCTCTTAAGAACATACTGAGTTCACGCCTTGAGGGATGGGAGGGGGAAATAGATCAATAAGAAAGCAGAGGAACTCTCAGCAGAGGAAGTTCTTAAAGAGTTTTACATAAAAGCTTTTAGTGGCAGTAGGAATATCCTTCTCTATTGTCTTTATTGATTTCTCGTTGGAGCTTGGGGACTTGTTTGGATTAGAAATCCTTTCCTCGGTCCTGGCTTCCACCCAGAACTGTCTTATAACATCACTTTGTCCGAGTTCAGCTGTGTTTCAAGGAAAGCTTTTTATTGCACGTACACATTGTGAAATGCTATCTGTTTGAACTGTAGGAGCCCTGTAAGATTTTATATATGAGCAGGAGACTGCACACACACACATGCACATACGCACAGTCTTGCCACAATAACCTTGAAATGTGGCAGTTTTCTAAAATGTTTTTCCATGAACATCTGTAGAAAAATGTCTTGTTCAGATTCTTTCCAGTGAAGGCAGAACTTGCTGGCTACACTTACTGCTTCATAGAAATAAAATTACTCCAGTTAATTTATGATCTGAAACATAAGGGAATTTCTTCCTCAAGTTGAAAATGAAATGTGGTTGTATATTATCAAATGATAGACTGGAAGGTTTAAAGGAAGGGAAAATATCACTTGGTCATCTAGCATATGTACTGAGTGAATAGGAGCATTGTTTTAAAGTATATTGATCCCCTAGTTTTGAAATCTATTTAATATCTGAGATCCTCCTGACTGATCTCATGCATAATAATATGGGCCATAAGAATTCCACAAAATGTCAAGCTTGTGTCTAGTCCAGAATTGATGAGGCATGAGGGAGGGGTTCAAGAAAAAGGAGGAGTTCAAGAAAAACTACCCATCTTGGTTGAAAGACTTGAAGTGGGGCTGGATTGGATCTAAAATGTTCCTGTTAAATGATTAGAAGTGTCTCCAGAAATGGGAGTTCACTTTCTCTTGAGAGACTGATCATCAGTCTAACAGGTGGCACTATTAATAAATGCTCCTTGAAACTCAGTCTGGAATCTCCTTTTTAACTTTGTTACTTTGCTTCTGGTTGACATCTCTCAAAATTCTAAACAGTTCCTCCCTCTCTGTAGTGCCCACACTCTTCAGGTAAGTGCACATGTGCCCTCTCCTTAGCCTGCCCACACTAGACCCATTTACTATGTTCCTCTAAAGCAGGGGTTGGCAATTATTTTGGGCGGAGGTCTGCTTACCCAGTTTTGGCAAGCTGTCGAGGGCCGCATGGGTAATCCCACCCCTTGACAGGTGCCCTGCACCCTGGTCATTGTCTCGGGACCAGTGTCCTAATGTCGTGGGACCAATGTCTCAGGGCCAGCACTGGTGGGACCCAAAGCGGGGCGCAGGCTGGCAGGGGTCTGTGGAGCCGGGCTGGGCTGCACCAGCAGGGAGAGTGGGGCTGGGACCCTGTACTCCTGCTGCCCTGCTCTGGGCCTCACTGGCACTGGC